TACTATGGAAAAATATCAAACATATATAAAAATAAAGAGATTAGTGTAAAAACTTCCCCATGTACCCATCAACAATTACCATTTTATAAACAATCTCTCTCCTTCCCCTTTTATTTTAAAGCAGAGCCCAATTGCCATATCTTTTTATCTGTAAATATTTCAGTATATATCTCTAAAAGATTTTTAAAGTATAACCTACAAATATCATGACCATACCTTAAGAAGTTAACATTAATTTTATTTGGTGTTCTTATATTTCAAAAATATTTTATGGTTTGTTTGAATCAGAATGCAAAAAAAAAAGATCCACGTATTGTGATTAGTTAATATACTCTTAAGGTTTTTTAATCTATAGATTTTTCTATTTCTTTTTGTGTTTTCTTATAATATTCCTATTGAAGCAACTGAGCCTATAGAATTTACCAGTCTGGACATTGTTGATTACAACTTTGTGGTATCACTTACTATGTTCTTCTTTTTCCATCTTCTTTTTTTATTTAGCTATAAACTGGTTGTTAAAGCTAGAAACTTGATAAGTTTAGGTTTAATTTTTGTGGGGGAAAGGGAGGGGAATCTATAATGCGTGGTGGTGTCTATGTTGGTGACTGGTTATCTGTGTTTTACTGATGTTAACGGCCATTGGTGATAACTGCCCAGATGTATTAATTAGGTGTTTAAAATGATTGATTCTGACATTCTAGGACAGAATTTAAATATTAGATGATAGATTGCTTTTTAAATCCCCAATTTTCTATATTTGTTTAAATCTTCTAAAAAGAAACAGTTTTAAATTTGTTTCTATGTGTTGTTTTATTTGAGAAGCATACTGTTTCTGGTTTATACTTATGTCTTTCGTATTTGCATTTGAAAATTGCCTGCTATTTTGAAAGATATGGCTCCTAAAAAGTTACAGGTAGGCAGATTATCTGTTTGATATCCTTTGGACTTTTGGTGATGTTCTGCTTTCAATAATTGAAGTTAAGGGGCTGGGGATGTAGCTCAGTGGTGCCGCACCTGCCTGGCAAGTACAAGGTCCTGAGTTCAATTCCTGGAACTGGAAAAAAAAATTGAAGTTAAGAGAAGTAGGAACTAGAAGGTCTAGATAACTGTATTGACCTTACAAGTAAGTATTCATAAAAATAATTTATTCTGTTGTGGTGGTGGTACTGGAAATTGATTGAATCCAGGGCCTTTGCAGTGAGTTACATCTTTAGTACTTTAAAACTTTTTAGAGTCAGGGTCTTATCAATTTGGTAAATTGCAGGCTAGGCTTGAAATTTTTTTTTTTTTTTTTTTTACTGGGGATTGAACTCAGGACCTTGCGCTTATAAGGCAGGCGGCGGAACCACTGAGCTAAATCCCCAGCCTAAGGCTTGAACTTTTTATCCTCATGCCTCAGCCTCCCAGAGTGCCGGGATATGTATGCGTCATCATATCCAGCTAATAAAAACAATTTCTAATCTTCTCTCAGTTATACAAAATAACTTTGATTCATTCAAGTTATGCAAAAGATCACACTTTGTTTTGTTGTTGTTTTGAGGTGATTTCTCACTGTGTTGTTCAAGCGGGTCTCAAACTCCAGTGATCCTCCCAACTCAGTCTCCTGAGTAGTTAAGGAGCTCAAGTGATCCTCCCAACTCAGCCTCCTGAGCTGGGATTGCAAGCATGTGCCACCATGCCTGGCTAAAGGATCATTTTATATATA